TAACAAATAAGTAAATAACTAGTAAATACTAAAAAAGGTTTAACTTAGTTATTTAGTTTAGTACTTCTAAAACCTAACTAAAATCTTACTATTGCTTTCTACTGTAATTTATTTTTTTATTATTTAGGGAGCATTATAAATAATTATGTTTTTTAAAAAAAAAACTACTATTGTTATAAATAACACATTCAATTGAACTAAACTATGCATGCCTATTTAAATATATTTACACATGGCTTGTGTATATTGTATATATAGATATATATTATTCATACCTTCAATGTATAGGACTCAAGCAGATTTTGACATCAAATTTTGGGGTAAAAAGTGTGTCTTATACACCGAAAAATACGGTAATGATTACCCGTCACCTGAAATGGGCTGAGCAAGGCTGAGCAGCTAGCATCACATTACAACCAAAAATAATAACTGTGCTTCATGACTGTCGATGCATTAAAACGGTGACAATCGAATCTCATTATTCGGTCTGATAAGAGTTGCTTGATGTTGGATGGTGCTGACTAACTGCTTTCCTGCTAGACTATCACTTGGAAATTAGAGATGGTTAGTGCAGATTTGTTAAAGATACAACAAACAAAGAAACCTAAATCATTACAAACATAACACCAACTAAATTTCTAGTGTGTATTCCAGACAAATTTTGAAGGTTAATTCGTTTAAAACTCTAGCATTTTAAACATTTTTATTAGACAGTTTTTTTTTTTCCAACCCGCCCTGTAGGTGAGCTTGGTTTTTCTGTGTTGGATGCCTGAAAAAGTTCCTCCTCAATCTGGACCTCAGCTTTTGATGATTTTGCGTTGTGTACGTCCATTAAGGATCTTTAGTCTGGTGCCTCACATGCGTAAGGTGGTCTATGAACTCCTAAGAGGTTTTAAGGAGATTTTACTGGCAAGTTTAACTCGTTTTTGCAAAATAAATTTTATTTGTAAGCATGTATAAACAGTTTTTGGTTGTTGTTTTTTCCAAAAAATAATGGAATTAGTTTTTAAATATTATTAAAAATGTGTGTTTTAAAAAATCATTTCCAACAAAATAAAAGAATTGAAACAATTTCAAATACGAAAGTGAATCTTTTTACATATTTTTGTCACTGCTTAGAACTATCAGTTTAGTTTCTTTAGCAGAGTAGAATCTGATTTATGATTCTTAGAATTTATTCATTCTCAGAACTTTCCATGATAATTTAAATTTAACATTTCATCATATGTCACTATAAGGATACAGATTATTCGCTTGGAATCTTAGAGTTTATATTTCTTATTTCTTTTGTTTCACCCAGTCACAAATAATGATACCTTTGGTTAACTTCTGTATCAGGAAACTTGTGTTTCTATTACATTATCTGTAGCCTGGCCCGTCTTCTCTGTGTTTCAGTGTAAGAGTAACTAGGTTGTAATGTGTCCCTGTTTTATAGTTGAATTTATATTAGTTGAAAAATGTGATTGATCCAACAATACTATTTGCTAATAAACTTAAGTACTAAGTGGTGTTTTCTCTCGGTGTATTTCTTATAAACATTTCTATTGAACTATGTAAGTAAATCATTCTGTGTTATTTGGTTATCTTTTGCTTTCGTATTTAGACTCATGGGCACAGAATAAAACTTTTTAACGGTTTTTACATCTAACTCATCACTGAGGACACAATGGCTTATAAATTTGATAAAAAAATATTATTACCTCATTTTTTTAAATGTTTAATGGTAATGAAATAAAAAGTCAACAAGTTTTGTTTTTACTCTGAACTAACTATTGTTAAACATCAAACAAACTGAATTTGATTAAAAAGAAGTTAAACATTTGCTTTCAATGGATTTGTATGTTTTGGTTTAAATTTCGGTTACCAGGGCTGGAGTAAACATAAAAATCTTTATATTCAGGTATCTGTTCTTCTCATTGTCTTGATGTTTGTATTTGCCTGTTATGGAGTGCACCTGTTTGGTGGTCGCCTTGCTCGATGCAATGATCCTACAATTGAAACTCGAGTAAGTGAAGTTAAATTAATCTTTAACCCTGTATGTGAACAGTGGGAGTCCAAATGAAAATTCATGACCTTTTTTCAGAGTTGTGTTGAAAATTTAATTAAACAACTTTATAATCAGTGTATATCAATAAACTTGGCATAAAAACATAGTTTATACTTCAAAGTTTTATATTATCTAAGTTTGAATTTCAAAAAGAAATATTTAAATAAATTCTCAATGTGCAGAATCATGTGACTTGGTGGCACTGTGACTTCTCATATGTAGTTTTTTTGTCTTCAGATTGTTTTACCAATGACAAATCAGAATCTAAAATATATATAATTCTCTCTGACATTACTATTGGACATGCTTGTAACCAATAGAAAGAGTTATTTCTACATTATGTAAATCATATCATTGTCTGGTTTGTTGGAGTTATAAAAGTAACCAATAGAAAGAGTTATTTCTACACTATGTAAATCATATCATTGTCTGGTTTGTTGGAGTTATAAAAGCAGACGGTTCACGGTGAGAGCTTAATGACAGACAGAAAACGTTGCTTCAAGATGTAACGAGATTTCTTAATCCAATTACAGAGAAGATAGAAAGCCATTTAAATTACATTAGTTTTTGGACATTCTTAACTAGTGTTTAATGTATTTTGTTGTGTTCTAAAGAAGATATTTGAAAGTTACTTGAACTATTTTCAGACAAACAAATGTATGAGTAGAAAAAAAAATTAGTCTTACCAAAATACTCTTAAATTATAAATAGGCCTATAAGCTTCAATAATTGGTAAATTTCTTGTTGTTTTTTATATATTTTTTGTTTGTTTTTACATATCTTTCAGAAGTAACTAAAATGTGAAAATTAGAAACTTGTTAGATTACATAAGAAAAATTAAATAAAACATTTTGTCTTGAGCAATACGTAAGTGATGTGGTGAATTGATGTCACTTGATATTTTGTTTATCATAATCTCTTGAAAGGTAATTTATGGCTTTGTTTGGTTAGTTAGACACAGTTCGAAGAACTATAAAAGAACAAAAAAAAATTAAATGTAAACAGCTGTAATGTCTTATGAGCCCGAGGCTGTTTAGGATACATAACTATATTTGTCTATTATAATCTTCAGTCATTCTACAAAATATGTATTTTTGATTATATTTCATATTTTTAATAAATCATTTTCAATGTGGTGGTTATGTTACATCTTATTCTAGTATAAAACTGGTTTTTGTTTTGTTTTTCAGTTTATGTATAATAGTATTATAACTTGACACACTAATATTAATCTGACTTAAGTGACATGCTTGAATTTTAGAATTTCAGTTTGATGTATTATTACTGAACTGATTTAATGAATATGTTAGAATTAACATTTACTAATATTAAACTGACTTATAGAATGTGCCTGAATTCAGTTATCAATTGGTGAAATGTTTATTAAATATAATTGGGCAATGATGTGGTGAGTCCAATATTTATTTATATATGTATGTATGTGTGTGTGTGTGTGTGTGTGTGTGTGTGTGCGTGCGTGTGCTAGATGTGCTTCGGAAGGATCCCTGAAAGTGTTCTGTTTCAAGAATAAATAAAATTAAAAGTAACAAATATTTTTATTTCTTGCTTTTGAAGTTCATATATCATGCTGTGTTGTAGCTTACAGAGTGCATAATTCATCTCTTGATTCATGGCACGGGCACATTATACTGACATCACGACAGTTGAAATTGCAACATTAAGCATCACTTAAGTGACATCATTTTAGTGTCTGCTGACTGACAGACAACACACTACAGTAGAGTGATGCAAGTGGTTAAAACAGGTGACCCCTCCAGGCAGCCTTCAGCCCCCTTTTGAGAAAATAAATGTTTCATTACAGTTATCATAATTGTTTGGTAATTATTGATATTGTTTTTTTAAGTCAGTTTTTTGCATCTCACTGCAGTATCATGTCAGACCTATAGAAGGAAGACTTAACAAAGTGCTGATGAAATATTTTAGGGAAGCCCTATATACTTAAAAAAAAGAGAGGTAAATCTTAACTTTAGAATTTAGTTTTATATCTATGCAAAAGCTTTAAAATTGTGTTTTTCATTTGGCAGTTTTGAAATTACCAAACTTTTGTTTTTTTTTATGTATTAGGAAAAGTGTGTTGGAGTGTTCATGAGAAAAGTGTTCATTACTAAAATGAAACTGGAACCCGGAGCAAATGAGTCTTATCCTGCTATTCTGGTACCTCGAGTTTGGTGAGAAAATTAATGCTTTTAATCACTAGGCATGTTAATCATATGTTTATAAAAGAAAATGCATATATACACTGCTTGCGAATCCTTTTTCAATTACAAAGGGAATCCCTGGAGTTTTATGTCAGTGATTTCTGGAAACAACGAATTCTACCCTAAAAAAAAGAAAGGAAAATTTTCACATGTTTTAGTGAAAAAATTTTGTTTTTAACTTATGCAAAATAGTGTTGAGTATTAAAGATTTTACGTATTTAGGGATTTTAAGCACGTATTCTAAGTCATTAAAAATTTTAGAAACAAAATTTTTAAAATATACAATAAATTTCCTGTGATATAAGTTAAGTCTAGGTCTTAAATTCTAAATATTAAAAAAAAAAAATAGTGGAATTGGAATTTGAGAACAGCTGGCTGAGCTCAGTTCTTTTCTTTACAACCTCGTTACTTTGAAAGCTAGTCCATTTATGCAGGTTATGTTCCACATGCAGAGAAACTATGCTGATTCGTACTTTATTTCTACATTTTGTAGATTTTGGAGAAAACATTTTGTTCTTCCTGCTGATTTAGGTCATAAAACCTAGTTTAGTAGCATCTTGTAGTTCTATAATTTTTTCTTCCAAGTAAGGAATCGGGAATGCTTATGTTATCATAATGGAGATTTACTAGTCCTTTGGATCCCCATTGAGTGCATCTTTTTTATATGGGTTCGTGGGTGATTTTCGTGTTGGACATGGAAGTTTGTACTGATGGTTTTGGGCAGAATGGAATCAGTTTAGAAATGTCTTGCAACAAGACAAAGAAAATGTTTCAGGGCTAGCTTATTTGACTTTGTTTTGTTTTGCACTTGGATCATTTTTTTAATACAGTAACACAGATGGGCAGCGACTTGTTCCACAAGTCTATTACCAGTGATGATTACCATGTGTTTGTAAAACCGGAGGAAAGAATTTATTTGTGAATATTCGGAAATTTTTAGTATTGACAAGCCTTTCTGCTCACACCCATGCACGTATTCGCTTTCTTCTAGCTCTGAATACTTTTTTTGTGTAACTGAGTTCAGCTATGAGTATTTTTAAAGTAATTGCTGAAGGAAAGTTGATTTTATCACCTTGGCTGGTGTTTAGATGTTTGCTTTGCACTAGCAACCAAAGGAGTAGAAATAATTTCTGGAATTTCTTGCTTATTATATTTGGAAATTAGGGAAAATGTGATAACAGAAGCAGTTTTATTTATGCTCAGTGCTATAGCATTTTAATCCATAAAGTAGTGTTAGCTGTAGGTATTAAGACAGTGTTTATGGATCCATTAGACTCATGGTGTGGTTAGAGTGGAGTGCCACATAGATCGATAAAAGTTTCCATAAAGTCTTGTTAACTGTTGATGTTAAAACAATGTTTATGGATCCATTAGACTCATGGTGTGGTTAGAATGAAGGTCCACATATATCAATAAAAGTTTCCAAAAAGTCTTGTTAGCTGTAGATGTTTAAACAATGTTCCATTAGACACATGGTGTGGTAAGAATGAAGGTCCACATAGGTCGATAAAAGTTTCCATAAAGTCTTGTTAACTGTTGATGTTAAAACAGTGTTTATGGATCCATTAGCCTCATGGCATGGTAAGAATGAAGGTCCACATATATCAATAAAAGCTTATAAATTTACAAGTTATACTGTAATGAATTTTACATTTTCTCAGTATCTTATGTAATTCTTTGAATTAAATCCACATGATCGTCAAGTAATTTTAACGTTAATATAGGAAAGGGAACAGCTGTTAGACTAAATCTTTAAGATTTATTTATACACAAAAAGAAACAACAAACAAGGCGTTTGATTCTCTCAGCCCACAGAATACTTGTGATAAGCAGTGTTTGTACATATAAAAGTGAAGACTAACGCAAAGTTAAAATACAAAGATTTATTTTACTCCTTTGGTGGGTTTAAAACCTGTTACAGCATCTGAGTTAAGCATTGTCTTCAAAAAGATTCTTTCTTTAGCAAAACAGATTATTCTGTATAAATAGTTAGCTGTACCTGAAAGCATTACTGTGATTGTTACGGGAAAACAACTCAAGAGGATATCAAATGTTTTTCATCATAAAAAATGTTATAATGCACATTTTGATTTACTATTGTATAAAAATATGTATTTTGGAGATCAAAACTGGAACAGGAGAACACTGGTGGTAATATAATTTTTCTCTCAAGTAAATAGAACATACTTCTTGTTGTCCCAGGGCTAACCCGCGAAACTTCAACTTTGACAACTTGGGCTCGGCCATGCTCACACTATTTGAGGTTCTATCCTTAGAAGGCTATGCTGAAGTACGTGATATCCTGATAGAACAGACAGGAGAAGTGAGTTAGATGTTTGACATTTCCTGTTGCTGTGGGATGCACATGACCTCTGATATCTAGAGAAGGGGTTATAGCACTGTCTGTAATAACAAAATAGATTGTGTGTGTGTGTTGACTACCATAGTGAACTGTGTTCATTTCTCTTCATCAACTGAACCTATTTCATCTAACCTTAGCATCGGAGAATAATTCAGTTTCTTTAGTTTGTGTGTTCACATCTAACAGTATTACTTGTTTTAAGAACAAGAACTGTTATTAACAAACTAAAAAAAAGCATTTTATTTGGTGTCATATTTTGTGTCTTAGTATACTTACATGTACCTTAATGTCATTTTACATGAAACTTAATTATTCATGTTCCCAGCACTGTGGTCTCGTTGCAGTGCAGAAAACCCCTTTATCTTCTAGTTACTTTCAACATCTGTTTTTTGTACTACTGACATCTTTGACACTGTGCAAAGACAAAAAGAACAAGCTCTTCAGTTCGGTCTAGAGTAATGAACACTGTTTATATTTCTTCATTACCAGTTTCCTAACTTTCTGATTTCTCTGTTTCTATTAACTGCTCTCCTATTTCTGTAGGGCCAACCCTCGCAGGTTCAACTTTGACAATATAGGCAATGCTATGCTGGCACTCTTTGAAGTTCTTTCCTTCAAGGGCTGGCTGGACATTCGTGATGTCTTACTCAAGAGGCTGGGACCTGTAAGTTTTCTTCTGCCCTCACATTTGCCAAATCAGATGGCATAAATTTTTTCCAAAACATTAGTATTTGTGACCACAGAGAATTGCATCTATTACTGAACTTTTATCTTATCTTCTTTTTTAGTTTTTGGGTTTTGCAACATGAATGCTAGTTTCATGCTATTGTATAAGTGTTTGTTTAGCTTTAATTTTAAAACTGATTCTTTGCTGTCACAAGCAAGCCATTACAAAATACAGCTTAAATGATTTTCTGTTAGCTGTGATAAGGTATAAGAAAAAAATGGTTAAAACTAGTTGATTTCACACTTAGACGTTTAAATGCAGTATATGTAAACTTACCTGAAACGGTTAATAAAAAGTTCAGGGACAAAGAAAATTGTCACATTGATATAAAAAATTTAAATATCAGTGAAAATATTTTTTTCACACCTTTTGAATATTTTCTTTTTGCCAATGCAAAATACAGAAAAAGATAAAAGAACGAAAGTGGGGGATGCAAGTGCGTTAAAAAATGTGGTGTTAAAATAAAAATGCTACAGTGTAAAACTGAAATATGGCTTTGTTCTGCAATCTACTTAAAAACTATGCTTTATAAAGCATTAATGTGTCAAGTGCATGATGTAGGTTTAACTTTGTTTGCCCTGAGTTTATTTTTCAGAAATGAGCATTTCTCAGTTGTGCATTGCAAATTGCTGAGTGTTGTTTAATCTAATTATTCTAATATGTAAAATTCTTGAAATAGTTTTCCTAATTTTACTTTCCATGGATTGTACTATGCTTATAAAATCATGTTTACACCCCATTATCTCTTTGTGTGTTGTTTTTATGGTAGTTGGTTTAACATTTATTGTTATGTCCATTGTCTATGCAGAACTGATTTTGTTATTAGTACTAACTGTTTGATATTCACTTGCTTCAATATTCATCTCAGTCCTGTTTTTTATGTTTTGTGATTGTACTGTTGTTACTACACATTTTCTGTAATGAGTTTAGAAGTGTTCTCACATTAATTCTCGTCTGGAATACCTGGTTTTGAAAGATATTTTTTAAGAACGGGTCTTCTTTACAGAATCTACTGTACAAATGGAATATTCAGAAGTACTCGTGTCATGATGCATAATCTGATGGATAGGAGATACTACTTTGAATTAATGAAACATTATAATGACTTAAGATTTAATTATATCTGTATAGATCTTTAGAACAGCTCCATTATTTGGTGATCTAAGATGTTTAATTCTCAAGTTAACGATTATTTCCAGATATATTACATCATTGTATTTGGAGCTTCGTTCTAATTTTTATTAATTCCGTTATGCTGTTTCATATTTATTTCTCATTTTACCTGACTTGTTGATTATTTTAATCAACTTCAAATATTTTGTTTGTTTTGAATTTTGCACAAAGCTAAACAAGTGCTATCTACACTAGCCATCCGTAATTTAGCAGTGAAAGACTAAAGGGAAGGCAGCTAATCATCACCACCCTCTGACAACTCTTGGGCTACTCGTTTACCAATGAATAGTGGGATTCACCGTCACATTATAATGCCTCTACGGCTGAAAGGGCGAGCATGTTTAATGGGACGAGAATTTGAACCTGCGTTTTTTCTGATTCAACTTTGGCTAATCTGATAGGACCCACAAAATACCTAAAAGTTCACCAGAAAATGTTTTTTGGGGTAAAATCTGAATTATCTTAGCCTTGACTAATTCTCAAAAAAAAAGCAGAGACACAGTGAAACAATGTTTAGTTTCAACACTCGTAAACATGATCAGGGTTTTAAGTGGCAAGTGTATTTCATCACTTTTACTGAAGAAATATTTGTGTGTTAAACAAGGAATGTTATATTCCTGGGATATCACCTGACTTGGCAATTATATTTGTCCATTTAGATGAGTTTGATATTGTGTTATGCAAACTTACCATATGTTTTGTACCCACTCAATTAATATATAATTATTCAAAATTTCTGTACATTTGTTCTTAGTATAGAAAGTCTGTCAAAGGGAGCCACTAAGTTCCCCTCACTCTAGTTACTTATGAAACTAGGTCATTCAATTAGGGTAACACATGTGCTTTCTCTAAGGAAAGATTGCTGTAACATGGAGCATACTGTAGAGAAATCAACAGTGGTCTTTTCTTTCCAATTTTAACATACCAGAGTGATACAGATGGAAAGAAATGCTCCAAAGTTACCATATCAAACACACCCAGACACAAGAGAAATGCTCCAAGGTTATTATATCAAGTTAATCCAAATGGACAGAAATGCTCCAATTTTAACATATCAGGGTGATACAGATGGATAGAATGCTCCAAGATTATCATATCAAACACATCCAGACACAAGAGAAATGCTCTAAGAGTATCATATCAAGTTTGTTAAAGATGAACAGAAGTGCTTTAACATTATATCAAACTCATCCAGACACACAGATGGACAGAACAGAAGTGTTCCAAGATTGTGATATCAAACTGACTAAGATGTACAGAAATATGTCAAAGTTACCACATCAAGCTCATCCAGATACCCAGAAATGTGTCAAGGTTATCCATGTCTACAGAAGTCATCCAAGGTTACAATATGATCTCATCCATATACTTAGAAATGTTCGAATATTACCATTTCAAGCTCATCCAAAAACACCGAAATGTTCCAAGGTTACCAGATCAAACTCATCCAGATACCTAGCAATGTTCCAAGGTTACTGGATCAATCTCATTCAAATGCTCCAAGGTTATATGTCAGTCTCATCCAGTTGCACAAAAGTGTTCTAAGGTTGCCTTATCCAGTTCATCCAGATATACAATTGTCCTTGATAATTACTAAACGTTCTCCAGTGATCATGGTTAGCAGTGATACGTGTACTGTTGGGAAATACAGTAGACCCATCAATGAACACAATGGAACTGTTTAATATTTGCCTATTCAGCTCAAAGAAAGTACAAAGTTATTCAGAAAAATACAGATTTCCCCTTAACATATTCACTACTCAGAGATTGATGTGATTGTCAAAAGATCTGGTCATTTATTTAATATTTATCCCTGCCATATTGCAAGAGAGAAAATGTAGACATACAATGATGTAACACAGAAATAAACCTATAGATCATTTTTGTATTTTTATTTGGATTGTTTACTTGTATTTCATTACTAATGAATGTGATGATATGTTGAAAAGTGTCATTTTTTTCAGATGCTGTTATAAGATTACTCATAGCATAAACTTGATGTTTGTGAGAGAGAGAAAATGTTTAGAAAAATAAAATTAGTTAATATGGCATTAGAATGTTTAATGAAGGCTTTCCTTATCAACCTGCATTTAGATCATTAAGATGTAGAGTAATTAAGTTTAGTTGTGTCTTAATTTTCAGATTTCAGTTGGCCAAAATGTATGTATACTCTAAAATGAATGTTTATATGGTTTAAGCTATATTATAAACATATAGTCTGCTGTTTATAATCAAAGTGATTCAGAATATCGCATTTTATTTTATTTTTTTGTTAAGTGCAAAGCTACACAATGGGCTATCTGTGCTGTGCCTACCACAGGTATTGAAACCCAGTTTTTAGCATTATAATCCTTCAGACATACTGCTGAGCCACTGAGGGGCATTTCTTTTTATAAGATTTTAAATCATGTAATACAATAAGTTGTACACTACACTAATGTATACTGTACTGTAAAAAACAGTGTTGTTATCATAAATAACAAATTTATTTGGTGAAATAAATCAAAAACATTAGATGGGAGAAAAAAAATGCCTGCAAATTTTTGTCAATGATAAGAAATGCAAAAATGTGAATAAGATGTTTGTATGTATGTGTGAATCTAGAAATGAGAAGTAAGAGGCTATTGGATGAACGTAATTGTCAATTTTTAACATTCTGAGCACGTATATATTTCGTTGAACTTAATAATGAAATAAGAAAAAATATAACTAGAAATCCAATTTTACAAATTGTTAAGAAGTAGTAAGAGAAAAAGGATAATAGAATATATATGTAGACTATGTAACAGTGTATCTTAGACTTCTAGCCCCCTAGTGGCTCAGTGATAAGCTTTATGGCTTATAATAGTAAACTTCAGAGTTTGATGGCCACGGTAAACATAGCGCAGACAGTTTTGCACTTAAAAACATACAAATTCAGATCTGTAATAAGTGTACAAAATCAATGGATTGAAGAGCTGGAGTGTCCAGAAAATTGTGTATGCTAATCACTTTGGTAATTAATGCTAGAGAGGTGTTTTATTTTTATTACTAGCATATCGTAATGCAAAAGCGTAATGTTTGAGAGTTGAAACACAATTTATATGTTGAATGTTATCCGAGGTGAGACTTACCATTGTCTAACATTCTATGGCAATACTAAGAAGTGCGTAATTAAAGTTCAGGGAAGTACAACACTTATTCATACTGTTTGGTTCTAGGTGAGGCTAAACTTTTTTCACAATACTGAAATTCGGCTCTACTGCAGCGTTTCATTGGTAGTTGATATGATGACCGGGATGTTGAGAGAATGATCTAAATATATTTAAACTGAGAATGATCATTGCATAATTTAATTCATTGTTAGCTGTGTATCTTGGTGTAGTCTTTACGGGGCCATCTTCTAATCCTTAATGAAAACATCGTGGATATTTTACGAGGTCACTGATAGACAATGCATTAGGAAAACTGTACTAAGTCATGTTCAATTTTTAAAGTAACTGTTTCCATTTTCTGTTTTTTATTTCTTGATCAGACCCTGCTCAAACTATTTTAATATGTTTTTATTTGTAATAAAGGTTTTTCTTTATGGCATTTACTGCTATTTATTCCATCTGTGACTTTGTCTTTCATTCATCTTTGTAAGGGTAATGTTGATCAGCTAAATTCAAAGTCAAAGGCAATTTGTAAAAGAACTTATGAATCTGTGTGCATATATAACTTCATACATGCATTTTATGTAATGTATTTACATATTCATATACTTGTTTTTTTCTTTTCTAAGCATAATGGTGTTTGTAAGCATGTATTGTACTGCATGTTATCAGTGATTTTTTTCTTCTTTATGTGATGATTGTATTTACTCTGTGTTTAACTGTGTTCCTGAGCGTTTTTGTACTGACTGTGTTTTGTTTCTAAAGATGACACTAGAATCATATGAATATTTATATATATATATAAGCCACTTTTTGTTATTATTGATGTTTGATTAGTTTTGTTTGCGGGTAAAGCAACAAGTTTCTTTTTTTTTTAATATAATCTTATAAAAAAAAGTTGAGAATATCAATTCCTAACAATGTTTAATACAAAAACAATTGTAAGTGATCAAAAATGATAAGGAATAAGTACAAGTTATACCTGGTTAAAAGTGAAATGCCTATACGTTGTTGTATTTGCTTGAAAATGTTGCTTTTAAATTGTTTCATAAAAATTTAAAACAGTTGAGTAACTATGATAAGTAATGTTACTTACACTATACACATACATTAGCTTATTGAGTCTTTTAAGAAAAACAATAACAGCAAAAGTTTTACTTACGTGGTAGATTTTGTCAAGCGGGTTTGTTTTCTTATTTTACATTTAAATTGAGCAATAAGTACATATGTCTGTGAGAAATCAGCTTTATGTTGTTATCCTTCAAAATATGTTAATTAATAATGGTAATATTTTAAACGAGTCAAAATTTTACAGGCTAAGCTAGGGATAGTTTATCAATAGGCTACAACATTAGATGTGTTTGTCAATATCACATATGTAACAAATCTGACGGAATAGGATCTTAGTATAATGTTGTTAACCCATTCACTGTGGCTGGGATGTATATTTCCCAGTGCTCCCACCTCCTCATACTGTGACTGGGACAAACATTTCCCATTGTCGATGCTGGTTACATCTTCCTCTGCTGGGTCCAGGTTCATGATCTTGACTATCGTCACTAGATGGAGAGCTAGCATCCTCTTGTCTCATTGCCTCTTCATCGTCACCCATTTGAACACCACTTGACTCATTTTTCATTATCGTCTAAGCTATCTGAGACAAGAGCATCAACCACAATTAGATAGTAATTAGGGTTACTGCTCGCTGCTCTAATGATGCACACACGGTTGGCACGCAGTTGTCGTACATTCCACTTGGGCATCTTGTTGGTTACTGAAGCGCCGAGTGGAAAACATTGAGGGAAACCACATATCAACATTAGGTGGGATGTCAATAAATACTTTCCAACTAATTTTATTCCCATACGTCATGAGCAGCAATTCTGAATGACAATGGGAAACATTTACTTCAGTTGCAGTGTGAGAAGATGGGAGCACTGGGAAATATACATCCAAGCCGCAGTGTAAGGGTTAAACGAAAACATACAGGTTGAAAGATTAAAAAAAACTAGTTTAGTATTTTAAGTGCTTTAGTAGGATAGTGGACTGTTTTTATTTTGAAATACTGGATAACCAGTAAATACTGAACTTCTGTCATTAGAACAACTGTTTTAAATGTTTAAGTATTCAAGTTCACATTTCACACTTGTAGCAGTGTTGTTACTGTTGTAATTTAATACATATGGTTTGTTCTTTTAACTCTAGATCCATGCCATCTATATTCATATCTTCGTGTTTCTCGGTTGTATGATCGGGCTGACTTTGTTTGTGGGTGTTGTTATTGCTAATTACAGTGAAAATAAGGTATGTTATCCTTTACACAAAAGTATCATATTTTAGAATAAAAAAAGTAGTCACTAAGATCTAAAACTAAATTAATTTCTTGTATGCCCATATGTGTTGTATTGAAGCATGTTTCTACAGCTTAAAATTTTTTGAATTATATACTGACAATACATATAAATATCTGTTTAATTACAAATGCTGAAGTTTTTAAAACAGTCTATGAAATATTAAGTCTGATGACATGTGTAAGAAATCTCACCAGGGAGTATCTTGGATATTTCAGATTTGTATACAGCAACAGTTTGTTAAGTTAGTTAGGCTACAAAGTTAGCCTAATGTTATCAAATAATTGCATTAAATCGGTTGTAGTATATTATGCTACCAACAATGTCAAACAAACCACCAAATGTAATGCAGCATACAAAAACAGATATAATTAATACAGTGTAAGCTTATAGGCCTAAATTTTGTAGTAAAACTCGTGTACTCTGTAAGTAGTCTTCCTTTCTTCACATATCTTAATTTCTCCAGTTCAGATTTCAAAATCAGAGATATGTAAAAGTAGCAATTCAGATCTATTCTTTGTCATTCGTGAGTCACTGTCCAAGAGGCCTTTTAGTTCAGAGGAGTGACTTGTCTGAGACAAAAAACAAATCTGAAATGCTATTTTTACATCTGATTCTGAATCCAAAATGTATAAATTAAGAGGGGAAAAAAAACATCTGCAGTTTACATGATCTTGACCATAGATTTTAGGCCTAATGATACCTAATGCTTTGGCAGCTTTTGGCATTTAAACTATTACGTTTAAAGTGTTAGCTTAGACCATGTAGTGTAATAGACATAGATTTTTAATCTGTTTTTAACAGGTTAGTCACATTTAGTTTTTCAAGCTCTGAAGCTTGTAATTTTTTTCCTTCAAACAACAAACAGATAAAAATGTACTTTCAAGAAAACTTCTTTTCAGCAGCATTTTGTACTTGTTGGTTGAAGTTTTATTTCCCGCAGTTTTTCTTTCTGCTGGAATGATATCTTGGGCTCCTTGCTGATGTGTTGGAAATTGAATTAGAATATGAATACGATTAACCTCTGAATTGAATTGTTTTGTCTTTTCAAGTCTTCTGTGTTATAAGTGCACTCAGGCTGCAGTCTAATAATTATCATTGCCTATTAAAACAAAAAATTTTCTATGATACCAATTTTATTATTCGGTCCACCAAATTTTCTACCAGAACTTTCACAGTTTGTTGAAACTCTGTCGAGGTTTTATTGTATATTTAATTGATTATTCAACTCAGTAGGTTCCTCACTAATGAACATCAATATACAGAAAAAACCCAAAAGGATTGGTTATTAAGTAGAGGTAGTGAATAATGTAAGTTAATATTGTTTAATGGCAGTATGTTCTGTTTTCCTGGATTTTCTCAAAAATATAATAAATTTTCCTTTTTTTTTAACCCTTGTCTTTGATAAACATTTGAGTTGTACTGCTTTTGTTGGGGTTACTCACATAAAGAATGTCTTCAAAGATAACTGAATTTGATGTATTTTCTAATCAACACAGTGCAAATCGGAATTGAATATACAGTGTTCAGTCTGGCAGATGGTAATTCAATCAAATGAAGTGTGTAACAAATTAATGTTATGTAAAGCTCTTAACATCATGCTCAAACTTTTCATCATAGGGAACAGCTCTCCTGACAGTAGACCAAAGAAGATGGTGTGACCTGAAGAAGAGATTAAAAATTGCTCAACCTCTTCATCTACCACCTAGACCTGATGGACACCACTTTAGGGCCTTCATCTATGATATCACTCAGAACCTACTGTTTAAGAGAGTGATTGCTGTTTTAGTCTTGACCAACAGTAGCTTGCTGTGTGTCAGTGTACGGTCTGTTTTAAATACATCTTATTGAATGGAAAGAATGGAGATATAACTGATAGTTTGTCATTTTACAAGATTTATTTAATGTAATTCGACAAAATATTCAAATATTCATTTCTTCACACCACTGAGGAGTCTTACCTATAAACAACACACTTGTTGAGTTTTTTAGAATTTTTCTCCCCATCCCAAGGAATAGCTTTAAATTTGCTAAGAAGGTATCGTCTCTTGAGGACATGATATCCATAAATGGTTTTGATTTTCAAGCATTTCTTTATCAATTTCTACTTAGCTTTTGTACATTCCTTGGTTGCCAAAATTTTTACGATGTCACATCAAGTGGTTTGATTACTTACTAATGAAACCAAGCTTTGGAAATAGCAATAAAACATTTAAATGTGACTGGATAGAGCAAGAATTAGACTTTTTTTGTATCATAATATGGCAAATAAAGTAGTTTGAGCAGTTGTTTATGGTTCTGTAGGAAAGTTGGCAGTCATAGATCCTAAAGCATTGACCAATAGCATTCTCTGAGAAGTTTTGAAGATTTAGGAATAACCCATAGAGTTGGGAGTCTTTTTATAGTTTCTTTAGCCTTGCTTTTTATCCATGAATGTGGTTGCATGTTAAATTACAGTATATCTATTTGAAAGCTACAGACACTCTTCAGTGAGAAAATATTAGATAAGCTTAATTAGGTTTAGTGAGAACCTAAAGCAACTTCAAAATATTCTTTTTTTTAAAATTCAAAAACAGCTAAAGTGGGATAGAAAAAATGCATAATTTTAAAAAACAACGTTTCGCCACTGTTAATGCCACTGATGATGCCACCTTAACAGTGGCAAGATGGTGCAAATTTTGAAGAGTGTGGGATCTCTCCAACGTTTATATTCAAAATGTTTATTGAATGTAATTTTTTTTTGTCGTATTCAAACACTGTGCATAGATAAATTGGTAAACTGGATACATAATTATTTCTAATCTAAATCATGATATGTTGTAAATAAAAGCATTGTTACTATTATCAGTGATAGTGAAATGTTTTCATTATTTTATTATCAATTTATTTGAATGACACAAGATCATTGGGAAATTACTGCATATTTTAAAAACAAGCAAAATGGCAACTTCCAGGGCATCTCAACATTAGCAATTCACAAAGTAGGATTTGTTGAGATTATCTATAAGAAAAGGGTCCGGCACGGCCAGGTGGTTAGGGTACTTGACTCACAATCTGAGGGTCGCGGGTTCAATTCCCTCGCCCTTTCAGCCGTGGGGGTGTTATAGTGTGATGGTCAATCCCACTATTCTTTGGTAAAAGAGTAG